TTATATAATTTGTTTAGTCAATATAATTTATAATTATAAATTAAAATTTATAAAATCAAAACTAAAAGCTTTTGCTCTGCTACATACCCTGTTTAGAGAATGAAAAGACCAGCTACAGAGTGGGACAAGATATTTCTAAACCACATCTCTGACAAAGGCATAGTAACTAGAATATGTAAATGCCTCTCAAGATACAATAGTATGAGAACAAAAAAATCCAATTACAGCATAAGCAAAAGACACACAGAGATGTTTCACCAAAGAAAATGTGCTGATGGCAAAAAAAGCACATGAAAATAAGACCAATATTATTAGAAACTGCAAATTAAAACCTGGAAATATCACAGCACACTTATCAGAACTAAAATAAAGAAATAGTGACCAAAAAAAACAGCCCCATTAAAAAGCAGGCAAAAGACATGAATAGACACTTCTCAAAAGAAGATATATGGGCAGCCAACAGACACAAGAAAATGTTCTCAGCCTCACTAATCATCAGAGAAATGCAAATCAAAACCACAATGAAGGTGGGGTGTAGTGGCTGAAGCCTGTAATCCCAGCACTTTGATAGGCGGAGGCGAGAGAATTGCCTGAGCTCAGGGGTTTGAGACCAGCCTGGGTAACTTGATGAGACCTCAACTCTACAATAAATAAAAATAAACAAATACCCCAGGCGTGGTAGCGTGCGTCTGTAGTTCCAGCTACTTGGAAGGCCGAGGCAGAAGTATCGCCTGAGCCCAGCAGTTCAAAGCAGAGGTGGCCATGAGCATGCCACTGCACTCCAGCCTGGATGACAGAGTGAGACTCTCACTCAAAGAAAAAAAAAAACCACACACATTGAGATACCACTTAACCCCAGTAAGAATGACCATCATTAATACAACAAACAATAACAGATGCTGCAATGATGCGGAGAAAAAGAAATGCTTCCACACTGCTGATGAGAATGTAATCTAGTTCAACCTTTATGAAAAACAGCATGAAATTTCTAAAATAACTAGAAATTGACCTTCTATATGATCCAGCAATCCCCCTACTGGGAATATACCCAGGAACTCAAATCATTCTACAAAAAGAAATACCTGCACAAACATGTTTATTGCTGCATTATTCACAATAACAAAAACATGAAACCAACTGTGCTACCCATCAAAAGTGAACTGGATAAAAAATTGTTATACATATACATGATGGAATATTACACAGCCATAAAGAAGGACAAACATATTGACTTCGCGGCAACATGTATGGTTTTAGAATCTATCATACTCAGTGATCTATCACAGAAACAAAGAACTGAGTACCACATGTTCTCACTCATAAACAGACTCTGATCACTTACCATAGTACTATAAGAAAGGGATTGGCAGTCGCGGGATACTGTTGGGATGTGTTGGGGGGGACACAACATCAATAAGGGTACCTGATCTCAAACCAGGCAAAATGGGGACCAAATGGAGGCCCAGACTTTACCTGTACGATGACCACTTGTATACCTAATACTGAATTGTACCCCACATCTTTAAAAGAAAAAAAAAGAAATAAGTAAATGAAGTTTCATATGATCCCAACTATATGACATCCTAGATAAGACAAAACCATGAAGACAGTAAAAGAATCAGTGGTTGCAGGGATTGGGGAGAGGGACAGATGAACAGCCAGAGGACAGAGGATGTTTGGGACAGTGAAACTACTTTTTCTGGTACTGTAATGGTGGATACCTGCCATTATTCATGTTTCAAAACCCACAGAATGTACAACACTTAAGAGTGAACCTAATGTAAACCCTGGGCTTTGGGTGGTGATGATGTGTCAAAGTAGGCTTCTCAGTCGTAACAAGTGTATCAGTCTGGTGGTATATTGCAGGATGCTGGGAGTTGGTGAGGCTCTGTATATGCCGGGACAGAGGTATATGTACTTTCTGCTCAATGTTGTTGTGAACCTAAAACTGCTCTAAAAAATAATGACAACTTTAAGAGCTGGCAAGGATGCAGAGGAACTGGCTCATGCATGTGTTGCTGAAGGGAATATAAAATGGTGTTGCACTCTGAAAATCATTTTGAAAGTTTATTTAAAAAACAAATATGGGCTGGGCTTGGTGGCTCAGCCTGTAATCCCCGCACTTTGGGAGACTGAGGTGAGTGGATTGCCTGAGCCCGCGGGTTCAAGACTAGCCCAGGCAGCTTGGCCAGACCTCATCTCCACAATAAATTTAAAAAATTAGCCGGGCGTGGTAGCACACACCTGTAGTTCCAGCTACTTGGAAGGCTGAGGTGGAAGGATCACCAGAGCCCAGCAGGTCATCGCTGGGGTGGCCATGAGCATGCCACTGCACTCCAGCCTGGGTGACGGAGTGAGACTCCAACTCAAAAACAAACAAATGAAACAAACCAAATATGCAAAATCCCAGATAAATGAAGACATATCCACACAGAAACTTATAAACAAACATGTATAGCAACTTTATTTACAATAGCCAAAAAACAGATAACAACTCAGCTGTCCTTCAAACAAATGGATGATGAAACAAACTTTGGCACATCCATACCATGGGCTGTTATTCACCAGTGAAAAGGAACAAACTCTTGATACATACAATAACCTGGATGAATCCGCAAAGAATTATGCTGAGGGAAGAGTCGATCTCTGAAGGTTCCATACTGTATGGTCCTATTAATAGAACATTTTTTACATGACAAAAATTAGAGAAATAAAGAACGTATTAATGTTTGTCAGGAGTTAAACAAGAGGTAGGAACAAAAGGGAAACAGATGTGTCTTTATAAAGGCAACTTTGGGGATTTTTGGTGATGGAAATGTTCTGTGTCTTGACTGTGTCAGTGTCAATATCCTGACTGTACTATCATAGTGTACATAGTTTTACAAGATGTTACCATTGGGGGAAACTGAGTAAAGGGTTCACAGGATCTCTCTGTATTATTTCTTATAATTGCACATTAATGTATAATTATATCAAAATAAAATTTGAATTAAAAAACTTAATGAAGTGAACCTATTGCTGTAAAGAAGACAGTATTTGTTGTCAATGAACAAAGTTAAGCTTTCAAGAAAAATTAGAATTTTGGAAAATTAGTTTCTGCTGCCATGAGCATAGCAACTGCCCAAGATTTAAAGACATTTAAAAATGACATCAGTAGTGCTATTAACCAATGTTGTTTTGATACTGTGTAATGAAATGTATCAAAAGTCATAAGAGCTGCACAACTCAGTGAACCAATACATTCTAAATGATCAATGCACAATATTATAAATTTGTGCATAGCTGAAAGACCCACTCAGATTATAAGATTGACTAATGGATTTTACTGGACAGAGTACAAAAGTTCATCGATATGGTTCCAGGTTCCAACTGCAACTAACCTTCAAAAATGGCCATTTGCCAACTTGAAACAAAACATTTAAAAAGAATATTCACATTTACCTTAAAAAGCGATTCAAATATGAATCCCTTTGCTACCTCCACATCGGTGTGAGGTTAAATTTTCTTTATATCCTTCAACCACACTAATATAACACAACAGACAATGCAGAAGCATGTATGGAAATCAGCTGTCTTCTATTAACCTAGACTTTAGAGATTTACCCCCCAAAATGGAAATCAACACTCCTCTTTTTGCTAAATTTTCTCATTTTGAAAAATATAGTTATTTTTCATAAAAATGTATGTTAATATCTATGTAATAGGCCTATTATTTTTAGTGATTAATAAATAGATATTTTAAGTTTTCCTGGTTTTTCTTTTTTGTTTTTAGAAACAGAGTCTTTTTTAAAATTGTATTTTAGAGTTGTGGGGCACACGTGGTGATTTTCCATGTAAGTAGGTTGCATGCAGGAGAAATTTGGGCTTCTAGCTGGCCTTCTTTCCTCCTAATAGTGGACCAGGTACCCAGTGTGTTGCCACATGCCCCTTTCACCTCTCTCCCTCTCCCCTTTCTCTCTCCCTCCCTCCCTGTCTCCCTCCCTCCCTTCTTCCCTCCTTCCCTCACTCCCTCCCCTAGCCGTGTCCAGTGTAGAGACAGGGTCTTGCTCTACCACCCAGCGCAATCATATCCCACTGCATCCTCAAACTCTTCCCACCTCAGCCTCCCCAGTAGCTGGGATGATGGGTGCATGCCACCACACCAGCTATTTTTATTTTTTGTGGAGAGATGGGTTCTCACTATATACCCAGGTTAGTCTCAAATTCCTGGACTCAAGCAGTCTTCCTGCCTTGGCCTCCCAAAGTGCTGGGATTTCAGATGTGAGCCACTGTGCCCAGCTTGAATTTCCAAAAAGATAAATACCGTTCAGTGGAATGCTTACAAGCGAAAGCTCTTTGGTGTCCTCAGTAATTTTTAAAGTGCAAAGGTTCCTGAGACACAAAATTTTGAGACCTGCTGCTCAAGGAGTTAAAAGTTTTCTTATTGGTTAGAGTTGCATGCTCAAATAAATACTAAACCAAAGGGATTCTATTTATTAAAAAAAGAGTAGCTAGTTTGGGAAAAAGACATATGCTGTCAGAGAGTGGGGAGCTGCCCCACAGCCCTAGGGACAGAACGGTGCTGAGTCTGCTGAGATTCCACATGAAGAAACATCCCCATTGGGCATTTCCAGTGGGTGCTGGGAGATCACTTGGGAGGCCACTAGACTTGGCCCCCAGATGGAAGGATCATTTATTTGCAAAGTTATCGCGAATGGTTGCTTTTCCTTTTATACATAATAGTATGCTTCCAGAGAAGCCTAAATTATTTTCTCTCATTTATTTATTTATTTTTTTATTTTTATTTTTTGAAAGCAGGATTTATCAAGAGGACAGAAAAGCTCCCAAAGTGTGAGGGGATCCGAAGGGGTTGCCCTATTTTCTCTCATTGAAAAGAAAGAAAGAGAGAAAGAAAGGAAGGAAAGGAAAGAAAGAAGGAAGGAAGGCAAATATCTCACCCATTTGACTTTTACCAAAATAATGATTTATAGCACATCCAGCTATTTACAGAAAAGATTCATTTTTAGAAGAATGAGGTGGTTGCGATACAGCTTTGATGAAATCCATGACGAAGAATCCTTTTCAATTTCCCTTGCTGGCTGTATTGTTGAGTTAATCTTCAAAAAGCATACTCCTGAAAAGGGGAAGGACAATTGATGACTTAATTTCTAAATTTAAAAACCGTCATTTAAATAAATCACAATAAAATGGTCTGGTTTTTAAATGAAGTCTTTTGGCTTCCCTCCCGGCTGGCAACCAGTCTCTCCCTCCAGTCTCAGTTAGGTGCTCTGGCCTCTGGGGCTCACATTATTGACACTAAAACATTTTTATTAGGGTGAGCACACACATTGGCCTCAGAAAGAAGATCATTCCAAGGTAGGATCTAAACAAGATCTAGAGGATCTCTCTCTTATCAATGAATCAACTGTGGAATGCCTAGACTAAGGAAAATATAAGTTGATTGCTTTACCCTTGGGAATGTGTTTAAATGACTCAGAGACAAAATAGTTCTAGTTGTAGTATTATGGGAGAAGGAGGTGTGTGTTTCCACCCCATACCCACCATATCCTTGGTAACCTGATGGTTCCTTCCCTTTATTGATTTAGCTTCTTTCTGTCTCTTCTCTCTGGTTTTATCATTTTTCTTTAACTCCTCCCCATTTTCATTTGCTAAGTCAGAGCCCTTATAACAGCTCTTACATTTTCCCCTTACCAGGGGAATATCCTGCAGTCCTGTCCACCCAGCTATCTGGTCCCCTCCTGCCTAGCGACCCTCCCACCTTCCCTGCCCCCATGCCTGGTTCAACCCCGCTGGTCCAGGGGACCATGCTTGCTGGCATGGCTGCCATCAGACGGGCATACCAGGCCCTGCATTGGCTCATCTGTTCCTTTTATTTTGAATCATAAAATAGGCTGGAAATAGCTGCCTTAAAAAAAAAAAAAAAAAACAGCCGGGCATGGTGGCTCAGGCCTGTGATCCCAGCACTTTGGGAGGCCGAGATGAGAGGACTGCCTGAGCCCACAGACTGCCTGGGCAGCTTGGCAAGACCTCATCTCTACAAAATTAATTTTTAAAAATTAGTCAGACATGGTAGCACTCGCCTGTAGTTCTGGCTACTTGGAAGACTGAAGCGGAAAGATCGCCTAAGCCCAGCAGATCAATGCAGGGGTGGCCATAAGCATGCTACTGCACTCCAGTCTGGGCAACAGAGTGAGACTCCAACTTAAAAAAAAACTACATTTAAAGTACTTTTCTAATAAGTTTATGAAATAATTGATCTGTTGCCTTACAACAGCATTAAACATCTTCCTGATGTTGAGAAAATAGGATAGCAGTATATGAGAATAAAACTAGTTGCTTTCTGGCCAGGCACAGTGGTTCACACCTGCAATCCCAGCACTTTGGGAGATGGAGGTGAGAGGATTGCCTGATCCCAGGGTTAAAGACCAACCTGGGCAAATTGGCGAGACCTCATCTCCACAATAAACCAAAAAATTAGTCAGTGTGATGGGCATGTGCTTGTAGTTCCAGCTACTAAGAAGGCTGAGGCAGAAGGATTTCCTGAGCCTAGCAGGTAGAGGCTCCAGTAGCCATGAGTGTGCCACTATACTCCAGCCTGGGTGACAGAGTGAGTCTCCAACTCTAAAACTGCTAGTTTTCTATTCATTATCATTGTCCATCTTTTGTTTGATTTGCAAAAGAAAAAGAAAAATCTGTGTCATGTTACCAGGCTGCTCACTTTATAATGATAATCTTAAAATGCAGTATATATTGAATAATATTTTTTCTTAAGAAAATATACTCTTGCTTTAGCTAATTGCAGTATTTTTATTTTCTGAAATATTCTAATTGACTATGTCTTTCATTAGTTTCAGTAGCAATTTGCAGAGACTCTAATTTGAATGAAACAGAGCTGGAAGAATTTTAAAGCTTCACTTAAAAAAAAAAAAAAAGCAACAAGGTATCACTATGTTGCCTGGGCTGGTCTCAAACTTCTGGGCTCCAGGGATTCACTTGCCTCAGTCACTCAAAGTGCTGGGGTTCAGGCATTGAGCCACCACACTCAGTTAAAACTTCACTTTTAAGTAATGCTCAGATTTGTTGCCACTTTCTTTGTGCTGTTCTGTGAGTAAGATATGACTCTGTCTGTGGAACCCTGAGCTCTCTGCTACTGGGGTTTGTAGAGGATGGCAGGGCATGCTGCTCGGTACCACTGCTCAGAATGAAGGCTGTTGTACAAGAAATGCTCTTCCCCAAAGGCCATTGCCTTTGCTTAATTTTATGTTCTCTCCTGGGGGGCACTCCCAATCCAGTGACTGTTGATGCGGGAAATACAAGGGCCTTGCCCACTTCCCTCAATTCAGGAAGTGTCTACAAAGGAGCCATCACAGCTCCAGTACTCTCTGGAGACCTCACCAAAATCCAGCTTCCTCTTCTGCCCAGGCCAGCTCTCTCACTCCCTAGCCATGGCTCCCAAGAGTCCTCCCCATGAACCTCCTGCCTGCAAATACCCATTGCAAAGTCAGCTTCCAGGGACCCACCTGAGACAGGGTAGTTTCAAGAGTCTGTTACCAACTTAGAGATTTTCTGAGGCAAGACTTTTCAAGCCCTCTGCTTGAAAGCCTTGCCTTGGAGTTAGTTACTCCACATGAAACCAGAATTAGCGGCAACTTTCTCCAAACATACCTGCGCTTTCTTCCTACCAGCCTGAACTTCACCACCATTACAAAGCCTTTAGAACAAAGCCACATGTGAGCCACCTCTCCCCTGTACCAGGAGGACTTAAACTTGCAGACAAACTCAATTGTTCCTTTCAGGAAGGTCACAAGCCACCCATTCTCCAGAAAACACACACACACACACACACACACACACACCCCTGAATGCAACATTGCATACAATTCCAGGAGGACAACGAACTCCCCCAAGAAGACTTCATGGACCCCAATTTAAGAACTATCAACTTACAATGATAGTAACAGGTACTCACAGTCTCAAATCAATTGTCCCGATGTAGGAAACAAAGAGAAAACGGAGGTCTATCCCAAGTGCCCTAATCCACAGGATTTCATCAACAGGTTTTGAATAACCAAATATCAGACTCAACTTACATTTTCCAGAGTCTTATTTACTGCATTTGAACTTGTCCTTTGACGATATTTTTTCCTGGTACAATAGACACTGACAAGGGTGATGATCAGCATCAGGGCAAACACAGTGACCGTAGAAGAAACTGCGATGACAATGGTGTCCCGGGTGGAGCCTCGCTTTTCACACCTCTCTCCCATATACCACCAGTCTTCCCCAACTGGGCACCTGCATATTGACAACACGACTCAGAGTTAGGAGATAGTATCTGGCTCTGGAACTTTCACCATTAAAGATATTGCTTGGAGGTAGAGGAAGATGGCAGCAGAGACACTTGGACTATGCAAGTCCATGTGGGGTACACACATGTACCCATTGTATCTTCATATAGAGTGGTGGTGGGGAGTGGGTCTCCAGGACCCCATACCCCAGTCAGTGAACATTGTGATTTGAAAGTAGTTTCTGAATCCTAGCTTCCCAGCTTCCACCTTATTTGACTCTCAAAACTACAAGAGACAGCAAAACTTCCCACCCTCAAAATAGAACAAATTCAGAGCCCTGATTAGTAAAGAATAGCAACCTGAGAAAACATCAGAAGTGGAAGCCCTCCCACTGACACTGAGCAATGGAATTAAAAAGAAAAGAAAGAGATCTGTCACAAATGAGGAAAAATCAATGGAAAAACATAGGTAATTCCCAGTGTACCAAAGAAAAAACACCTGAAAAATCAGACCTCAGAGTCCAAACAATGGAAGTCACCACCAGTTGGCCCCAGAATACAGCAAGGATTAGGGAATGGATGGAAAGAGTGCATAAGACTCAAGAAAGATGTGATGCAACACTGAAAGAACTTGTAACAGACTCTGACCATAAAAAAACTTCATCCAGGAAACAAATAACAAGATGACAAGTATGGAAAGCAGAATTAATCAAGCAGAAGAAAGAATTCAGAACTTGAAGACGAAAACATGGAATTAATCCAATCTATAAAAAGCATAGAAAGAAAACTCAGAAAGAAAGAACAAAGCCTTCAAGAGATTTCAAGAGGTCAAACCTATACCTGATTGATATCCCAGAAGAAGAAAGGGAAACAGAAAACACCTTGGAGCAAGTATTCCTGGAGGTTATCCAAGAAAACTTTCTCCATCTCATCAGAGATGTGACCATCCAAACATAAGAGATACAGACAACCCCTACAAGACATAAAATTAGAAGACTAACCCCTAAACACATATTTGCCTACACAAAATAGGTGCAAAAGAAAAATCCTAAAGGCAGGAAGAGAGAAAGGTCAAACTACCTACCAGGGAAGACCAATCAGAATAGCAACAGACCTATCAGCAGAAACACTACAAGCTAGAAGGGACTGGAGTCCAATTTTCAAAGTCTTCAAAGAGACTGGAGTCCAATTTTCAAAGTCTTCAAAGATAAACAATTTAAACCAAAAATTTCCTGCCCAGACAAGCTCATCTTCATCAGCCAGGGAGAATTAAAATCCTTCGCAGACATCCAATTCCTAAGAGATTATGCAGCTTCCAAGCCAGCTCTACAAGAGATGCTTAAAAAGATATTAAACACAGAAGAAAGAAAAAAAGAATGACCACACACTTCCCAAGAGAACAGGAGAACACAGAATCAACAGAGAATACATCACAACCACAAACTTGAAAACACACACATACATTAACCCAAAAGTTAAAAGAAAACAAACAAAGAAAAAACTTTATAAGAACCTCACAGGGATAAACACTCACATTTCAATAATCAGCCTGAATGTGAATGGACTAAATGCACCACTGAAAAGAAAAAAATGGCAAACTGGGGGGAAAAAATACAACCCAATAATTTGTTGCATCCAGGAAACTCATCTCATCATAAGGGACACCCACAGACTCAAAGTTAGAGGATAGAAAGAGAATTTCCAGGTGAATGGATCACAAAAGAAGGCAGGAGTCATAAGCTTAATATCAACCCAAACAACCTATAAGCTATCAATAATTTTAAAAGATATGGAAGGATACTATATAATGATAAAAGGTTTGATCCATAAACAAGAAATATACAAGTGAAACATATATGCACCCAACACAGGAGCACCAGAGTTTATACAGCAATTACTAAGTAAGCTTAAAAAAGATATTGACTCTAACACTATTATAGCTGGAAACTTAAACACCCCGCTAATAACTCTAGATAGATCATTGAGACAAAAAAAATCACAAAGAGATTCAAAACCTCAACTTGATACTTGACCAAATGGACTTAATAAATACCTATAGAACTCCACCCAACAATCACAGAATATACATTCTACTCATCACCACATGGAACATACTCTAAAACTGATCACATCCTCAGCTATAAATCAAGCATAAACAAATTTCATAAGAGCAAAATACTGCCATGCACCTTCTTAGACCATGGTGAAATGAAAATAAATATCAACACCAACAAAATTCCCCCCAAAATCACAAAGATGTGGACACTAAACAACATGATGTTGAACAACTCCTGGGTCAACACAGAAATCAAAACAGAAGTTAAAACATTCCTGGAAACAAATGAAAATGAAAAAACATCTTATCAAAACCTATGGGATGCCATGAAATTAGTTCTAAGAGGGCAATTTATATCTGTACAAACACACATCAAGAAAATAAAAAGGTAAGATCACAAGTTAACAGCCTAACAAACCACCTAAGAGAGATGTAAAAACAAGACCACCAAAACCCTAACTTTAGCAGAAGAATCCAGATCACCAAAGTAAAAGCCCAAATATGGGATATGGAAGACAAAAATATAGAAAAAAAATCAACAAAACAAAAGTTGGTTCTTTGAAAGGATAAATAAGACTGATGAACCCCCAGCCAAAAATAACTAAGAAAAAGAGAGAGAAAGCCCACATACCCAATCAGAAATACAAACGATCAAATCACAGAACCCTGAAGAAATGCAAAAGATTATCAAAGATTACTATGCACATCTTTATGGAAACAAAATTGATAACCTAAATGAAATGGAGGACTTTCTGACATCACATAACCTTCCAAAGTTGAAACACAAAGACAATGAGATGCTAAATAGACCAATAACAACCCAGCAAACTGACTCCATCATAAGAAAACCACCTATAAAAAAAAGTCCTGGACCAGAAGGCTTTCTGGTGGAATCTACTAAACATAGGAGGAGCTGATACCAATCCTATTGTAAGTTTTCCAGGCAGTTGCGAGAGATGGAATTCTCCCCAAATCATTTTACAAAGCTAGCATAAGACTGATACTCAAAACCTGTAAAGATTCAACAAAAAAAGAGACCTACAGGCCAATATCCCTAATGAACATAGATGCAAAAGTTCTCAAGATTCTAGCAAGTTGAACTCAACAACACATCTCAAAAACCATCCATTATAACCAAGTAGGCCTCATCCCTGTGTTGCAGGGCTAGTTCAACATCCACAAGATCATAAATGTAATTAAATACATCAACAGATGTAAAAACAAAAACCAAATGATTATATCATTAGATGCAGAAAAAGCTTTTTATACAATCCAGTATCCCTTCCTGATAAAAACCCTTGAACACCTAGGCATAGAAGGAACATAACTCAAAATAGTAAGCGCCATCTAAGATAAGCCCACAGCCAGCATATTGCTAAATGGACTGAAACTGGAAACACTTCCCCTGAAAACCGGAACAAGACAAGGCTGACAACTCTCATCCCTCTTGTTCAACATTGTGTTGGAAGTCCCAGCTAGAACAATAGGCAAGAGAGGAAATCTGAAGTATCCAAATAGTAAAAGAGGAAGTTAAGTCATCCCTCTTTGCTGACGATGTCATCCTGTACCTTGAAAATCCAAGAGAATCTGTCAAAAACCTCCTTGCACTGATAAAGGACTTTGGCAAAGTCTCAGTGTACAAGGTAAATGTTCAAAAGACAGTCACATTTCTATACACCAATGACAAACAGGCTGAGAACTAAATAAAAAGCACAATCCATTTACAATAGCCACACACACACACACACACACACACACACACACACACACACACACACACACACAAATACCGCAGCAACTTGGATGAATTTAGAGTCTATCATACTCAGTGATCTATCAAAGAAACAAAGAACAGAGAACCATATGTTCTCACTCATAACAGCCTGGCTCATTTTTTTATTTATTATAGAGACAGGGTCTCACCAAGTTGCCCAGGCTGGTCTTGAATACCTGGGCTCAGGCAGTCCTCCCACCTCTACCTCCCAAAATGCTGGGATTACAGGTGTGAGCCACTATGCCTGCAAATAAAACATTTTTAATCTTACAGTATAGTACCTTGAACAATTATCATAATACTATAAAAAAGAGATTGGCAGTAGTGGGAAACTGCCATGGGATGGGATGAGATTAGCAGTTGAGAGAAACTGCCAGGAGAGGGAGGGGCACACCTCATCAATAAGGATACCTGCATAATGAACATCTGTATACCTAACCCTGAATTGTACCCTACATCTTTAAAATAAAAATAAAAATGAAATACCTTGGCGTCTTCCTAACCAGAGAAGTGAAAGAACTTTACAACAAAAACTACAAAGTACTGCTCAAAGAAGTAAAAGATGACACAAACAAATGGAAAAATATTACATGCTCATGGGCTGGAAGAATCAACATTGTTAAGATGTCCATCCTGCCCAAGGCAATCTACAGATTCAACACATTACCCATTAAATCACCAACATCATTCTTCTCCGACCTGGAAACAACAATACAGAAATTCATATGGAAACATAAACAACCACAAATAGCCAAAACAATCCTCAGCAAAAGAAACAAAACAGGAGGTATAACACTTCCAGACTTTAAACTTTACTTTAAGGCTACAATAATCAAAACAACCTGGTATTGGTACAAGAACAAGCATATTGACCAATGGGACAGGATAGAGATTCCAGAAGTAAAACCTCAATTTCTCAACCAACTCATCTTTGACAAAGCTGGGAAGAGGAGAACCTATTCAATAAATGGTGCTGGGAAAACTGGCTGACTACATGCAAAAGATTGAAATAAGATTCCTACCTATCACCATACACAAAAATCAACTCTAAATGGATCAAAGACCTAAACGTAAAACCTCAAACTATAAGAATCTTAGAATACACAGGAGACACCCTTATGATGAAATCCGAGACGGCAACCAATTCCTGTTCAAACCCCAGATGTCCATGCCATTAGATATAAGATAGACAAGTGGGACCTCATTAAACTGAAAAGCTTCCATAAAGCCAAAGAAACCATCAAGAGAGTGGGAAGACAGCCTACAGAATGGGAAAAAATATTTGTCAACTGTTAGACAAAGGTCTAACATCCAGGATCTACAAGGAATGCAGATATGCCGAAAAGAAAAAAACAAACGACCCCATTAAAAAGTGAGCAAAGACATGAATAAACACTTCTCAAAATAAGATATATGAGCAGCCAACAGACACATGAAAATGTGCTCAGCCTCACTAATCATCAGAGAAATGCAAATCAAAACCACATCTGAGATACCACCTAACCCCAGTAAGAATGGCCATCATTAATCAAACAAAAAACAACAGATGTTGACAAGGATGCAGAGAAAAGGAAACACTTCTACACTGCTGGTGTGAATATAAACTAGTTCAACCTCTCTGGAAAATAGTGTGAAATTTCTAAAATAACTAGAAATTGACCTTCCATATGACCCAGCAATCCCCCTACTAGGACTATACCCAGAAGAACTCAAATAATTCTACACAAAAGATACCTGCATATGCAAGTTTCTTGAAGCACTATTCACAATAGCAAAAACATGGAACCAACGTGCTACCCATAAAAAGTGGACTGGATTAAAAAAATGTGGTACATATACATGATGGAATAATACACAACCATAAAGAAGGACAAACATATGGACTTCACAGCAAACTTGGATGGATTTAGAGTCTGTAATACTCTATCACAGAAACAAAGAACTGAGTACCACGTGTTCTCACTCATAAGCAGACCCTAAACACTTGCCATAATACCATAAGAAAGAAATGGCAGTAGCAGGATACTGCCAGGGTGGGGGTGGGGACACAATATCCATAAGGGTACCTGATCTCAAACCAGGCAAGGTGGGGACCAAAGGGAGGCCCAAACTTTATCTGTATCATGACCACTTGTATACCTAATACTGAATTGTACCCCACATCTTTGAAATTAAGTTAAATTAAATTAAATTTTAAAAAGATGTTGCTCACCTGTCATCTCTCTGATCACCAGTACGTCATTGGTATATGGAACTATTTTACCTACTCTGGCCTTGGGAGACTAGCACAGGATGCACAGGCAGGGCCAATGGAGAGGGAAATTGGGATTATTCCTAATCTGATACAAATACAGTAAATAGAGAAGTTTAGGCTGGGCACAGTGGCTCATGCCTGTAATCTCAGCACTTTGGGTGGCCTCAGCAGCTACCCAAGCAGGAGGATGGCTTGAAGTCAGAAGTTCAAGACCAGCCTAGGAAACATAGCGAGACCTCCCATCTCTACAAATAAGATTTTTAAATGAGTCAGGTGGGGTGGCAGGTGCCTGGAATACCAACCTCTCAAATGGGAGGCTGAGGTGGGAGGATCACTTGAGCCCAGAAGTTCAAGATTATAGTGAGCTATATCACAGTACTGTACTCCAGTCTGGGTGACAAAGTGAGACCATGTCTAGAAAGGAAGAAGGAAGGAAGGAAAGAAGGGAGGGAAGGAGGAGAGAGAAAGAGAGAAGAAACTAAGAAAGAAAGGAAGGAAGGAGACAGAGAGAGAAAGAAAAAGAAAGAAAGAGAGAAAAGAAAGAGACAGAGAGAAAGAAAAGAAAGAGAGAAACAGAGAGAGAGAGAGAAAGAAAAGAAAGAAAGAAAGAGACAGAGAGAGAGAAAGAAAAGAAAGGTTTAGTTCTCCATGTCCCAGGCCCTCCACCTTCTAGTTGTATACTTGGCTAAGGGCTTCTCAGAACGTATCTTCATCTAGAAAATGAAGATAACCACACTTAAAAACATCAGACTGTTTTTTGTTTTGTTTTGTTTTGTTTTTTGAGTGGGAGTCTCACTCTGTCACCCAGACTGGAGTGCAGTGGCCGCTCCCGGCCACTGAAACCTCGACCTGCTGGGCTCCGGCGATCCTTCCGCCTCAGCCTTCCAAGTAGCTGGAACTACAGGCATGAACATCAGACTGTTATGGGGATTTAATAAGACAGATAACTCATGAGGACTTTTTCAGTCAATTAGAATGTGGTGTGCTATTTTTTAAATAAATAATTGTTTTGTTCTTGTGGCTGTTCAGAGACCCAAATTGAGAGCAAAACACTAAGTATGCCCACAAGTAGCTTTGAGATGTGGGGCAACTGATTTCATTTATGTGGATTATCAGCATTTAATCCTACATGTGGGAATAACATTTTTTTTGAATTGAGGTCCCACTCTATCATCCAGGCTGCAATCAAGTGGCACACTGCTCGTGGCTACTGCAGCCTCGACCTGCTGGGCTCAGGCGATCCTTCTACCTCAGCCTTCCAAGTAGCTGGAACTACAGGTATGTGCTACCATGCCTGGCTTATTTTTTTATTTATTGTAGAAATGGTGTGTCACCAATCTGCCCAGGCTGGTCAGAGAATAACATTTCTAACAAAAGACTAGAGAGATCCCTTCCAAATTGCCCTCACCTGCACACAGCTTTGTCATCTTGAACAGCACAGATGCCATCGTTCTGACAGGTGATTTCTGAGCAGAGGTCTTTGATGCCAGGGGTTGGTACTGACGGGTCTTGTGTAGAGTTAAGGTGAGAGATGTCTAGGAGGATGGGATGGGGGAAAGCATGAATGCAAATCAGCATTTGCTTTAACAATCACGTGATCTTTGCATTTCAAAATACAGTAAGTCTCCTACATAGAAACAAATTTCGTTCTGAAAGCGCATTCGTAATTCTAATTTGTTCTACTAACACACAGCTATATAGTACCGTACTATAGTAGATTTATAATACTTTTCACATAAATAATACATAAAAAACGAACACAAAAAAATAAAGAAAACGTTTCTTTTGAGTCAGAGTCTCACTCTGTCACCCAGGCTAGAGTGCAGTGGCACACTCACGGTCACTGCAGCCTTGACCTGCTGGGTTCAGGCAATCCTTCCGCCTCAGCCTTCCAAATAGCTGGAACTACAGCACATGCCACATGGCTGGCTCATTTTTTAATTTATTATAGAGACAGGATCTCACCAAATTGCCCAGGCTGGTCTTGAACACCTGGGCTCAGGCATTCCTCTCACCTCTGCCTCCCAAAATGCTGGGATTACAGATGTGAGCCACTATGCCTGCAAATAAAACATTTTTTAATCTTACGGTATAGTACCTTGAAAAATACAGAGAACTAACTTACATGATCGGACATGCAAACACACGTTTGCATTGTTGAAAGTTTGCAACTTGAAGGTTTGTAAGTGGGGGACTTACTATAGATGACATTCAGCTTTTAGGCATGTGAGAAATTCAAATCATCTTGACACAAAGTCCAGCAATGTCCATAGGCAGTGAAATAAACAAGAGACCAAAGGGCAGCTGAGTCAGCCTACTGGGGTACAGCTTAGGGCTTTGGGAGCTCTGGGGAGCACAAGCCCTTGATACCACCCCTCAAGGGATAGAGAAGGAAACCTAAGCTCGGATATGTAAAGCAGTTGAGGGCCTTACCCAAGGTCTCAGTTCTCTCTCTCGGTGGAGTTAAGTTGGTGGAGATTCGGCGTGAGACACCAGATGCCTTGATAACAATTGTTATATTCTTTGCAGTGTTTATTTTTGCTCTAGTTCAAATAGCTATGGTCACAGAGAATGGATAAATATGTGGTTTTTTCTCTAGTGCATAACATATCTTCTCTCTCTCTCTCTCTTTAGATTAGAAAATACAGTTTATTTAGAAAGTAAATTAGAGAGAGAGGAGATAGGTTCACCTTTCAAGGTGGGAAGGGGGCCAAAGCTAAGAAACATGGTGGCGGTAGATCAGAGAGCCACGTGGACACACCAGAGTTTAGCAAAGCAATGGTCACGTCTTCTCTCTTGACATAAGTTATTCCCAAATAATTTTATTCCAAGAAGTAGTGTCTATATTTATTCTAATGGACATTGGAGTCAAAACTGTGTGGGGGCTTTTTTGTTTGTTTCTTTTTGTTTTTTGTTTTTGAGTTGGAGTCTTAATCTGTCACCCAGACTGGAGTGCAATGGCCGCTCCCGGCCACTGCAGCCTCGACCTGCTGGGCTCTGGCGATCCTTCCGCTCAGCCTTCCAAGTGGCTGGAACTACAGGCGTGCGCTACCATGCCCAGCTAATTTTTTTTATTTATTTATTATAGAGATGAGGTCTCGCCAAGTTGCCTAGGCTGGTCTCGAACCTGCGGGCTCAGGCAATCCACTCACCTCAGCCTCCCAAAGCACAGGATTACAGGCTGAGCCACTGAGTCCGGCAGAACTGTGTGGGTTTTAATGGCACCACCTCTTATCACACACAAGAATCTGATTTACTGAGATGCAAGTGGGTCTTTAATAGTAAATGAGTTAAAATTCTAGCGCAAAAAACATGAAACCTACCAGAATTGCTGGAAAAATGTATTTACTGGCTGCCAAGAGTAAGAAGTTTTAAAAGACAATAGATTAATCCTATTACTTCCAAGATATACATGTGTGCATGTGTTTGCACGTGTGTGTGTATACATACATATGTATATACAGTTGAAACAGGTAAGACCATCTATTTGCAGTTTAATTTCATGTGCTTGTGTAATATTTTTATTTCTGGAATCCTACAGTATAATCCCAGGGTATAATAACTATACTTTAGCTTATTTCTAAAGGAATTTTCCAGCCTGAAGCTTTTCCCTATTGCTCCATGTAGTTGTAATTAAAATCTTTATCCTGGAACCCCCACTGTTTCAAATTAAATTATTCTCATATTGTTAATAATTCATACCCCTCAAAAATCTCACTCATGCCCATTTCCTCCCACACTGCTATATAATATATCTAAAAACAAAACCAAAAGAACACAGTAGAAATCAATGGTCACAACAAAAAACTAGCTTCTATAAAACTATGTTTATTGACATACCTTCCACGGTCAGCAGGATGAAAACATCATTTCCTTTGATAAAATTTCTGCTTTTCAGTCTTTCATGGGTTATAAAGGTGCTGGTTCCATAGCCCCTACCTCTTCTAAACTCAGTTCCATTAGGGAAGAAAGCCACTGTTCCCACTTTGGAAGGCCTGTCCCAAAAATAGCTTCCATTATCTGAAAAAGAAATTTATATTAATGGATTGTGTTTAGCATCACCACAACTTTTGGTGGCAGGAAAGAACAGGCAATGTGAAAAGCAATTAGGATGGAGCTCAAAATAATTAAATGATGCCATTGACCTGTGATGTATTCCCTGGCAGCCCACCGGGACTTGATCATTTGCACTGTCCTGGCAAAAAATGAGATTGCTGGCGGGGAGGACCATGCTCTGGAATAAGGGTGAAGAGGTCCCAACAGTTTCCCAGGTGGGGAGATCATACCTCGACCTATTAGCCAGTAGAGAATCCCTTCTGTCTCTTAAAATCATTCCTCAGTGGTCTTCTGAGTTACAGATAGTCCTTTTAACCAAATTAAAGCAATATGTTGCTGAGAGTGTATTAAACATCAGCACAGAACAATTTGTATCATTAACTGAATTATTCCCCTAATAGAGCAAAGTCCTTCAGGAGTAGAAGACAGCAAGAAGCTTTGCTTCTAGGGAAAAGTGATAACCCACCCAACCTTGAGCCACTTTCAATGTCATTCAGGGAGAAACATTTTAGGAAAAAAGTGAAGAAATTCTGAATGCCAAGTCCCTACAGATTAACTTGGGTTTTTTTTTTTTTTTCCTGTCACTTTGGTCCATGCTTTTCATATAGAAAATTCAGATTTAACAATAATATTCAGCTTGCCAAAATTTCATTTTCATCCTTTACTAGGGTCCAGAGGCAAAGAATTATTAAAATTATAAGTGGATCTGACCAGGAATGGTGGCTCACACCTATAATCCTAGCACTTTGGGAGACCAAGGCGAGAGAATTGCTTAAGCCCAGGAATTTGAGACCAGCCTGGGCAACAAAACAAGACCTTGTCTCTACAAAAAGATAAAAAAATTAGCCAGGCATGGTGGTACGTGCCCACAGTCCCAGGAACTTGGAAGGCGGACGTAGGAGGATCACCTGAGCCCAGATTGTCGAGGCTGCGATGAGGTGTG